GTTGTTGTTATTTGCCGTCGAGTCGGCCCCGACTCATAGCGACCCCTCCTTGGGTTTCCGAGGCAGTATCACTACGGAAGTAGGATTGCCCCACCTTCCTTCCGAGGAGTGGCTGGTGGGTTTGAACCACCAGCCTTCTGGTTAGCAGTCAAGCACCTTAGCCACTATGCTACCAGAGCTAGCAATTACAATAAGGGCAGCACAGGTCTATAACATCCTGAGACTAGGGAGGGAAATCATAACTCACATAACCAAAAAAACATTTAATCTAAATGCATCCATTTAACAGTTTGTTGAGAGGATAGATCAAAATACAAACAAATTTTAGTTTCAAAAAAGTATGTGCATACATACATACATTAATATATGATATATGAAGATAATACATAATATATGAGGATGGCACATGACTGGGCAGTGTTTTGTTCTGTTGTACATAGGGTTGTTATGAGTCAGCATCAACTGGACAGCACCTAACAACAATATATTTATATACACATTTATATACACATTTATATATGTATATACACATTTATATATGTATATACATACATTTAGCTGTATCAGCATAGTATACACTATGCTAAAAGATCTTAATTATTATTGATAAACTTTTTCTATCTGTCTCCAATATTTCCTATATTATACTCTTCTTGTAATTTGCTTCCAATGTTTCTATTTGGCTAGCTTTTAAACTTTTCTCTCTTTTTGTTGTCCTTGCTTTTGTGTTCCTTCAGTGTTCTCTGGCACCTTTGTGGTCAGAGCTCATATTATCCTTATAGTCTATATTATCATTCCCCTAAAGTTTCTGACTCAGGGTCATTGCTCCATAGGGTTTTCAGTGGCTGGTTATTCAAAAGTAGTTGGCCAGGTCTTTCTTTTGAGGCATCTCTGGGTAGATTCAAACCTCCAACCTTTCAGTGAGCAGCTGAGGGCATTAACCGTTTACACCACCCAGAAAATGCAACTAATAAATAGGTAGGTAGATATGTGAGTAAGTCAATAGACAGACAAATGGTTGGATAGATGGTTGGATGGATGGATGGATGGACAAACAGACGGATGGAGGTAAATAGAGACAGATACAGTGGCTATCCTTTATTTCCTGCCAAATGCAGCACTACGTGGAAGTCCAGCATGCTGCACTTTTCAGGTAGGCAGGTTAGCAGATGGGCAATCAGCAGGACACAGATTCAAAAACCAGAGCAAGAGCTGCAGAATACACAGCTCTGAGGTTTCTGCAAAACCTCCACAAGCAGGTAACAGCCAGATACATTCTCAAATCTATTTTACTGAGCACAATGTGGGTAAAATTGCTCTCCATAGTTGCAGAATTTTGCTTTTCTCCTTTCCTAGTTACCAATGAAGAGAGAGTTTCAGATGCTCGGGAGGAAAGCTCTCCATCCTCTCAAGGCCCTCAGCAGCCCGCTGGTACTGGTAAGTGTCTAAATCGTCAAAACTTTGTTTTGTTTTGTTTTGTTTTTTAAAGCAAGCCTCCTTGGAAAGGTCATTTTTCCAAACCCAGTTTTTAAGAGTATTTTTTTTTATTTTAACTTTTATTAAAGCTCATACAGGACCCCCTCCAATTGGTTTGAGCTTTATGGTGGTACAAGAATGCTCACTTTATGGGCTAGGCTTCAGGATAACATGATGTCTTGTAGGTTCAGTGCTATTTTGCTCATTAAGATATATATATATATATATATATATATATATTCAATAAAAATATCTATAAAGTCAAGGGTCACAATCAGAATTTTTTCTTTTTTTCTGACTGTGACATTCAGTCTTCCTCTGTAGTAAAGAGCAAGGTTAAATTCATTTCTGGAGGCACTGATTTTGGATTTTTTGCTGTCTAGAACAGACTAAACACAAAATAAGGAGCAAAGCAGCTGGTCTGGAGATTTGATGTTCTTTGTCACTGAATAACAAAATCATCTATGAAGGCACATTAGTTATTTGATTGTCAAGAATCCAAATCTTTTGGTTTATTTTTTGTTGTGGTGAAAACATATATAACAAAACATTTGCCAATTCAACATTTTTGACATGTACAATTCGGTGATAATGATTATACTCAGATCATTTTTGGCAAAGGGGCTGAACTATGAATGCAGGAGGATTTAGGAATCCACTAGATGATTAAACTGGGGCAATGATCATATATTTAATTTGCATTTTACCTAGCATGATACCTAGCAATAGCAGGTGCTCAGAAAATGCAGAATGATTGAATGAAATATGAATAAATTTGTTATGCTGCTTTGAGCAAACAGCCTCATCCAGAAAGATAAATTCTTTCATGTTCAATCTGTTTCATAGTTTCTCTATAATAATTTCATTTAGTAAGATAAATGCTTTCCTATCATTATGATGTTAATAGTTCTGAATACCATGTCATATTTTTAAGATTTTATATCCTGAATAATATTTTTGAAGTAAGTGTTTAAATGTTTGGTGTTTCTTAAACCTGGGAAAATACAATGGTACATACAATTGTTTTAATGGCAATGGATATTGAAAATATTATGGAAGTGAAACACAGATATCACTTGCTTGTAAAATCCAATTTTTAAAAAACATGTTTAGAATCTAGTTATCTTTAAATTGATTCACATCACAAGTAAACAACTCGATTTTCTGCTCTGATTTTTCATATATAACATAAGATTTGACAAAAGATGCCTCTAGAATTCTTTCAGCTTTCAATTTCTATGGTTTTATTACTGTTAATAATACCATTTTCAGTAAAAGAATGGGTGGTTTCATTCCCCTTGGTAGCCACATAGTGGCACTGTGCAGCGGGCTAAAAAGCAAGAGACCGAAAAGGGGGTGGGGGACAGAAAACAGGGAAATAAGCACAAAATCAGAGAAAGATCCATCTTATTTTCCTAATTTCTCTTGTCTAGCAAAAACTTCACAGGATGTTCCCCTTCTAAGGTGAGGCAACCATAGATTTTATCGGCAACTGAGCCTATTTTTCAACGTACAAATCATTGCTTTGTTCATTGCAGACCCATGTTCTTTATCCACAAAGCCTGGGATGCTTTACCTCTGTGTTCAATTGTTATCTTGAAAAGAAAACCTCACTGCCACCGAGTCCAACTCATAATGACCCCCATTTGGGTTTCTGAGGTGGTAAATCTTTATGGAAGTAGATTGCCCCATCTTCCTCCTGTGGACTTGACCCTCCAACCTTCTGGTTAGGAGTCAAATGCCTTAGATGTTGCACTCCCAGAGCTCCTTTTAGGTATTTATATATACATACACACATATATGTGTGTGTGTGTATTTGGGGTGTGTGTGTGTGTGTGTATATATATGTATGTATGTATATATATATGTATGTATGTGTGTGTGTATATATATATATATATATATA